AAAGTTCAGCGTTTTGTTGTGGTTTGTCTTATTTCTCTTCTTTCTCTCTCTCTCTCTCTCTTTCTTTTCTTTTCTTCTCTTCTCTTCTCTCCTCTCCTCCCCTCCTCAGCCCTCTCCTCCTCCTGTCTCTCTCTCTCTCTCTCCCCTTTCTTCCATGTATGAATGAGGACATGCAGTTTTCTGTTTCTGTGCCTGGCTTATTTCACTTAACATAATTTCTCCAAGCTTATCCATGTTGCTGCAAATGGCAGAATTTAATTATTTTTATGGCAGAATAGTATTACATTGTGCATATATGTACCACATATTCCTTATCCAGTCATCCATCAATGGACATTTAAGTTGGTTCCATATTGGTTGGCTATTGTAAATAGAGCTGTGATGAACATGGGAGTGCAGGTATCCCTTCAACATGATGGTTTCCATTCCTTTGGGTATAAACCCAGAAGTGAGATTGCTGGATCATATTGTAGTTCTATCTGTAGTTGTTTGAGAAAGCTCCATACCATTTTCATAATGGCTGCACCAATTTATAGTTCCACCAAGAAGACAGAAGAATTCCCTTCTCTCCACATCCTTGTCAGCATTTGTTATTCTCTGTCTTTTTGATTATAGCCAGTCTAGCTGGGGTGAAATAATATCTCAATGTGGTTTTGATTTACATTTCCATGATAACTAGTGATGTTGAGTATTTCTTCATGTACCTGTTGGCCATTTGTATGTCTTCCTTTGAAAAGTGTCTATTCATCTCCTTTGCCCATTTTTTAATTGTTACGTTGTTTGAGTTCCTTGTGTATTCTGAATATTAATCCCTTGTCGATGTATAGTTTGCAAATATTTCTTCCCACTCTGTAGGTTGTCTTTTCACTCTGTTGATTATTTCTTTAGCTGTGCAGAAGCTTTCTAGTTTGATATAATCCTGTTTATTTATTTTTTCTTTTGTTGCTTGTGCTTTGGGGGTCTTTTTTTTATAAAAGATTATTTATTATAAGCATATTATTATTACAAAAAGTGATTTTTCTTTATGCTCCTTTCCCAACCTATCCCTCCACAGCCCCTGCCCCCCTCATCCCCATGTCTAGGATTCTGAAAGTTCAAAGATTGTTTAGGTTTTAGGTTCTCTCTCTCTCTCTCTCCACCCAGTTATAACTGAGAACATGCAGTATTTCTCTTTCCTTGTCTGGCTTATTTCACTTAACATAATTTTCTCCAGATTCATCCATGTTGCTGCAAATGCCAGAATATAGTTCTTTTTTATAGCTGATAGTATTCCATTGTGTATATATACCACATTTTCTTTATCCAGTCATCCTTCAATGGACACTTAGTTTCCGTATTTTGGCTATTGCGAATATAGCTGCAATGAACATGGGAGTGCAGGTATCCCTTCCACATGATTTCCATTCCTTTGGATATATGCCCAGTAGTCAGATTGCTGGATCATATGGCAGTTCTATCTGTAGTTGTTTGAGGAAACTCCATATTGTTTTCTATAATGGCTGTACTAATTTACAGTCCCACCAACAGTGTAGAAGAGTTCCCCTTTCCCCACATCCTTGCCATCATTTGTTCTTCTTGTTCTTCTTCATAATGGCCATTCTAAGTGGGATGAGATGATAACTCAATGTGTTCTGGGTTTGCATTTCTCTGATGACTAGTGACATTGAGCATTTTTTCATGTACCTATTGGCAATTTGTATGTCTTCCTTTGAAAAGTGTCTATTCATCTCCTTTGCCCATCTTTTGATTGGATTATTTGGTTATTTTTACTGTATAGTTGTTTGAGTTCTTTGCATATTCTGGATATTAATCCCTTGTCATATGTATAGTTTTCAAATATTTTCTCCCATTCCGAAGGTTGTCTGGATATTAATCCCTTGTCATATGTATAGTTTTCAAATATTTTCTCCCATTCCAAAGGTTATCTTTCTGCTATGTTGATTGTTTCCTTTGCTGTGCAGAGGCTTTTTAATTTGATGTAGTCCCATTTGTTTAGTTTTTCTTTTGTTGCTTGTGCTTTTTGGGTCTTAAAGTCTTTGCGTAGTCCCACTTCTTGGAGTGTTTAAGTAATTTTATGGTTAAGTAATTTTATGGTTTCAGGTCTTATAAAGTCTTTGCTCAGTCCTACATTCTGAAATATTTTTTCTATGTTTTCTTCTAGGAGTTTTAGAGTTTCAGGTCTTGTGTTTAAGTCTTTAATCCAT